TCATTTTAAAGTAACATATTACTGTAGCAATTCATTTTAAAGTAACTTATTACTATAACGATTCATTTTAAAGTAACATATTACTGTAGCAATTCATTTTAAAGTAACTTATTACTATAACGATTCATTTTAAAGTAACATATTACTGTAGCAATTCATTTTAAAGTAACATGTTAATGTAACAATTAGAAAATAAAAGCTCATTCCTTGTTACAAATACAAATGTAACAAAACATTATATGATACTATGTAAAAATTCACAAAACCAGAAATCTGTTCACGTTTAGAAAGTAGACATTCTTTCTTCACAGAGAAAACAGTCTGCCTTCTGAAAGAACTCAACTGTTTGGTTTCTTATTTCATGATTAGTTACACAGATACTTTGACACTTAATGACATAAATCATACATATATGTTAGTAACTTGCTACACATTACTATTAATATTGCATGTGTAAACATATATTGTATTCAAAGTGTTATAAACATCATTTAGAGGAAGACAAATAAAATGAACTTCTGCCCCTGCTGAGGGAGTTAGTGTTCTAGATACCAAGCCTAGTCTTACTTGAACAATCTTGTGGAGGAATACAAACACAAGGGCAACATTTGCATTCTTCTTTGTAGTAGCAACCACTGCATCAAGTTAAGGAACGTACCACTGGCTTTCGTTTTTATCTATTATTACTTCTATAACTGATGAATTTTCACCTACATAACTCTACAATTTTATCATTCAAACCATTTTAGATATCACAAAATAAAAAGACTCCCTGTGTCAAAGTTTACCATTTATCATACACAACTTTCATATAACCAAAATCGACCATAGACGAACTGTAAGTTGATTTTAAAAAATCATATGCTTAAGTCTCCACTTCATATCAATCTGATTTATTTAAGCTGAAAACAAAATATATCCAGTTTATATTTTACTAATTCAAAACTGTTCTTGATTTATCACAATTTTTACCAGGATTCTTTGTTAAATATATCTTGAAATAAATCATGTAATTTCTACATTTCTATTTAAACAACAAAATTATTTCATTATTTTCAGCCCCACATTCTTAAGTTTGGAGACAGTCCTACATGTATCTAAGGATGCCCCCCGAGGAAAGCAGACATTTACTGGAGTTGATTTTAAATAAATCAGTTTCTTACAGTAGTTCCAACATATAATGATGGATAACAACAAAAACTACTTAAGTCAGCTGTTGAGCATACAGATTTTCTGTGGGGAAAAGATACAATGGATAACCTTATAATCTTTATTTTTATCAACTGGCTTTTCATGTATTGTTGCCTTTTACAACATATAAACTTAACCTACGTTTCTCCTGCATCTATTGCCCATGACAATCAATAAACCTATCCTCAAATAACTACCACTAGTTGTTATGCAGAATTAACATATAAAAAAGTAATCAGCTATTACTATTGAAGAGGTTATCAGCTACCACTATTGAAGAGGTTATCAGCTATTACTATTGAAGAGGTTATCAGCTACCACTATTGAAGAGGTTATCAGCTACCAGTATTGAAGAGGTTATCAGCTACCAG